CATTTGCGAACTTGAGACATTTGTGGCGCTGTCGCGATATTCGGCTGTTTATGATTGGTTGAGTGTATGCTTCAGCGTCCACTTCAGCTTCGTGGTAGCCGACATGTTGGTGAATGCCCCTAGGTGTTCCGCTGAATGCAAGTATTGAGTGTTTAATCAGAGATAACCCTATCCGTTTGCCCAACGCTGATGATGGTGATTGTGTTTTTGAACCTCACTTGAAAGTCCAGCTTACTGTTTGCGCCTTCGCAATGGCAGATGATACCCGCGAAATTGAAGCCGTGATGAAAGGCTAAGCGATTGACTGCATTCGCTGCCTGATTAGGTATGTGTTAAATGGCCTCAGGTAGCCAGTCGCAATCAAAATGATTGGTCATTTTTGATTTCTCACGGAAATTTCATTTTCGCAAAAATGTTTGAGCGTTGGGGGTTAGAACACATATGGATGATGATTAGCGGTCCTCTACTGCAGTGTGCTTTGTTTGTAGTCGCTTCTCCGAGCCAGAGGAAGCACACAGAGGTCAATAAACGGCTCACAGCCGCCTTATGAAGAAGCGTGTAGATGGAGTATGTTCTTTAGATAAGCTATTTACACTTGATCGTTTGAGGGTGTTCCCGGTGTATTTGTAACGCCGATGTCCTCGCATCAATTCACAAGCGTGGCCACTAAGTGGTTTTTTGTTGAGGCTGGGGTTAGGCACGGAATAATAAATTGTTGATAACGCCTATTGGCGTAGTGATTGTGTCATGTGCTTTGCATATCTTCCTTTAGACTTAGTAAAAAGACTTTATAAAGTGCACAATTAGTGGTGGTGCAAACCGAAGCTGAACTGAATGATAGTTTAATGCATGCAATGATTTGTTCGTAAACTCAATACTGGAAGAACATTTTATGGGTCGAGAAAAGCCTCATCCTTTGTGGGAAAAACTGGCTTTTTAAGAGCCAGGTTAGAATCCAATTACATTTAGTGGATGTCAATTGATGATTCATATTTGCAAGAGCGAAATCACTGTTCATCCAGTGCTTTTTAACTATGGCCAACACGTTTGATCTGCTTGATCAATTTGCACTTGATACTTGATTCTGTTTAGGTCCTCATCGTGCTGTGAGATAAGTCCATTATTGCAACCAAACAGAGCAAACAAAGGAGAACATAGATTTCTATTGATTTCATTCTCAAATAAGTGATAAAATGTTTATGAAGATAAATAGGTTTCCTGCATCGAGTCTCGGTCAGTTGACTGACAGAAGAAGAGATGGGGGAGGGTACGATGACGAGAGCCACCTGATGGCACTTTTACGATATCAATACTACACTCCTGGTTTGGATCATTCCCTTTCGAATCGGAAAACCAGAGTTCGAATCAATTTCCGTTGTGGTTATGCGCTCAGATGGATACCAATGGTCTCGTTGGCTGCAGCTGTTTCTGATTTTTTGATATTATTACCTGTAATTGAGCACCTCGTGGCCTGCTTCAACGGACCTGATTTAGTAAATTAACTCTGACCGAGTGACCACATGGTAAATAATAGTCTCATTTTTGTCTTGAATTATGTTGTTTGTGATGGCCTAAGCATAAAATCTGCAAAATATATTGGCGCTAAATTGCATGATGTAATCAATTTTTCAGTCAAACTTATTTTGTCGCCGATGCGTGTCCGGTTTCGCATCTTTTTCTACATCCACCAGGCACTTCCAGATGGTAGCTTGTCGATCGTCGATGTCTTATCCGATGCTAAGCTGTTATTGGGGTGTGTGCATTCATTTATCCTTTGTTACAAACATGGAATCTCATTTCGATAATGTCCATATAATTACGCACCTGTTTACAAAAATAATATAACGTTATACTAACTTAAGGTACCATTTGAGGATCTAGAATTAAGTTGACATAGTTACGGTGCATAGAGACGCATATCAATCTAGTTTCCCCCCTATTCGCTGTTTATAGGCGGATCTGTGGTCAAACGAATTTGATCTGTCATTATTCGCGGATAAAGAGATCAATGTGAACGTTACCGGTAGTCTGTCCGACTATGTGAAGAATTTGGCCGCGCGGATTGTGGTCAACGACACACATGATCTTCACCGTATTTGGTCATCTCGCCTCAGTGATGGTCAGTTAGATGCGGTCAAAAACCCACACACTGTCGCTCTGGTTACGGACAATGCCGGTCCGGAACTGGTCGCTGATTTGTGTCTGGCTGAGTACCTCATACAATCCGGTTTTACCTCTCGAGTGGTATTCTATCCGAAGGCCATTCCGTGGTATGTATCTGATGTCACCGCCAACGATATAACTTGGCTTCTCGATGAAGGTTTGAGTGCCAAATTCTTAGCCGCACCTTTGGTCCCCTTGGCGCGGAAATGGGCTGAGAAATGGCGGGCACGATTCTCCAATGGTCATTTTATTGTAAGAGAATCCCCATTTTGGACGTACTCTTGTCCTTATGGTGAAATGGCTAAAGTTAATCCCAAACTGTACGAAGAGTTGACCACGGGTGTTGATGTCATTTTGTTCAAGGTGAGTCATTCAATATATGCTTATTAACACCTTATTTAAACTGACTGAATGACTCAACTGGTCTATGTCGTTAGTATTCAACTTCTGCCTGTGCAAACTGTGCGACTGATGATGATGGTGCTGTAAAACGAGCGACCACATGCGTATCCGAATTTCCAGCTTTGTGTCGAATTGGTGGTCTGTTTGTTTTTACTGCAGTTGAAATGATGTGTATTCTGTGCCACAGTGCAGAAAGATTTACTTTGTTGTTGTGACTTACATCGCTATGAGACTGCACCTTGATGTGGTGTGATGACTTGTGCACCTGTCTGACCTACCGAGCTGCCCAGGATGGCTTTTGTTGAATCATAGATCCAATCGTGCCTGGAAGGTCAATGGGTATGGGAATTCCAGTCTCCAGGTTCGGGGTTCGACTCGAGTTAGCGTCCCAGCCGGTAAAATAGTAGCGGAGAAATCGATCCAAGTAAATGGGTCTCTACTTGGCTTCACCCGCTGCCTTGCGGTCAGGTTCTTGTTAGAACTAAAGGCTTCGGACGAGAACCCTATTCGTTCTCATGCTTAATGGCTTGACACCCTGGCAATACCCGTCTATCAAACTCAAATGCATACACGAACAAAACATAATTCCATACTGCATCGGTCGTCGCGCATCCGAAGCCTGTCTAGGAGGCCGTTTCGCCCTTCCCACCCAGCGAACAGACAACAGTGATCGATTAATTCAGTTATGTGCGGGTCATTGGTTGTTCTTATGTAGCAACAACTTTCGACACAGCTCTTGTCGAACGGCTACATGGTGTTCTAGTTCAACGGGCAAATCGACCCAAATTGACCACATAGCTGTAAGCTACCGTTGGCGTGGTTCAGTACAAAATTGCAGATCTTATTGCACCTCCTGCGTTGAGTCGGATCATGAACTAGTTCTGTTATGCTTCACTGTTCGACTCATCGGTCATCAGCAGAAATCGCTTCCTCAGTTAGCTCATCATCGTCTGCGCGATCCATCTGTCTGCGCACATTATGAGGAGAAGCTAGGACATAAGCTAGGAGAACCGTAACATAGTAGAGTAGACCAACTGTGGGATCAAATGAAATTTACGGTGCACTCAGCAGCCATATTTACTTGTAGGACCGAGCCCGAAGTTCACCTAAGGCATTGGATCTCTCAGGAGTCAGTAACCCTAATGGATCAAAAGCGAAAGATCCCAATCTGCCAGGATCAGCATAGGGATGGGTTTCGCCTGCAACGTCAACTCGGGAAAAGCCTTCAGAAATATCGCGAAAATTGGTGGGCCAAAGTAGCGAGTGAAATGGAGGTAGCTTCTGCATCAGGAAATAGTCAAAAACTGTTTCACCTAATACACAGCACCAGAGGTCGTTGCATACCGGTCAGTGAGACCATTTGCGATAAAAAGCGACAGAGTATCCACAATAAAGAAGAACGAGTTGATCGATGGACAGGGTTATTTTAGTGAACAATTCAATTGGCCTAGTGCCAATGCGGTCATTCCAACTATTGCAGCGGAAGCCCCATGGGTGGTAACAGGTTAGTCCCATGGGAGTTAGAAGTACGAAGCTGCATTCAACCATTAAAAGGGGAGGTTGCGGGACCTGATGGACTTCTCCCTATTCTTTTCAAGGTGGGCGGTGATTCTCTTGTTGACTGGTACGATTTGGTTGGAGGAGCATATCCCTTTGCCCTGGGGTGAATCATTGATCGTCCCGATCTTCAAGAAAGAATCACGCAACGACTGCACCAACCACCGCGGGATTAGTTTAGTTCCGATAATCTCAAAATTATTAACTTCTGTGATAATTCGTCGCCTGACACTCCCAATGGAGGGGAATATCAGCGAACAGCAAGCCGGATTCTGGTCATGTCGTTTTCTTGAAAATGGGATCTGTGAACTTGACTTTTTCGGTTATCAGTAGTTGCGTAGTTCTTACGGGTCAATTAGAGCATAATTAATCCACTGATAAACCCCATTTTCTTTTCGACTCTATTTTCGACTTGTCTTTCTCTTGCTGTTCATCCAAATGGGTGGCCAAAAGACAGCAACCAAAACCGGCGCACCATTCCAATAATTCCCGATGTGAACATCTCACCGGCTACCTAAATTTTTGTTTCGATGTGTTGTCCGATCGAGACAATATATATCCTTACTGACAGATTTTCATCACCTCTCCTAAAACACCTTCGACGTAATAAGGAGAGGGCATATACGAATGGCAGGCGCTACGATGTTGAACGACTCGCGATTATCATCAAGGCAGAGATTCAGCACTTGAATCGGATGTTTGTTGAGGCCTCTCTGGGTAACCAAAGCTGTCACGTGATGTGATTGGTGTTGAAGCAACTCTGCGGTACACTTGGGAGCTCCTGTCCTGACGCAGAAGCATTAAACTAACAATTGTATGCCTGCTATGGGTCCAATTTTCTACCCTCCGTTTTTCAGTTCCTCAGAAAACATCATCCCAGTTTCTCCGACTGAGGTTCTAAAAGTTTTGAAGCAACTTAAGTTAAACAAGACCCACGAACCGGACTCGTTAGCCCCTACTTTATTAAAACCTGTGCTGAACACCTTGCAACACCCGTTGCAGAGTTGTTTAATTTGTGTATGTCCTCCGGAACAATCCCGGATAAGACCCATTGACATGAAGGGTTCTTCAAAATATCGACTGATTGCATGTACCCGAGCCCTGTTGAAAGTCTTTGAAAGAGTGCTGTTGAACCGTTTGACTACCCTCTCTGATGAGTTTGATCCTCTTCAGTTTGCTTATATGGAAGCCCTTTGGACTGTTGACGCTGTGGCGTATGTTGTCCATTCTTTGACTTCAGTTCAAGAGTGCTGGAACTGTTCGCCTTATTTTTTTGACTATACCACCGCCTTTGGTTCGCTTGACAGTCGCTTTCTCATTCAACGTCTTACTGACTGCGGCTTAGGATCCGACGTGTTAAACGTTCTTGTAAACTACTCTTTTAGGACGCAATTTACCTCATGCAATGGTAAAACGTCGTCGTCTTCTTATGTTAACTCTGGTGTCTTCTGGGGCGCCATTTTGTCTCCCTTCTTTTTCTTCCCTGTACATAAACAACCTGCCTGTCCCTACCAACTTTATTGCCTGTAGGTATGCGTAGGATGTAGTGATTGGATGCCCCTCCAATACTGATGCTTCTTTCCACCAACTTCAAAGGAATCTGAACGACGTTTTTAGTTGGTCTCTACCCTGATCACTCCTGCCTAATGTGTCCGAGTGTGTCAACGTTCCCTTTAGTCTTATATCTGGCCCCCGTTATCAAACTACCTTTGATGATTTACCGGACCTCGTAGTTAACAGTCACAGCATTCCCAAAGCTGACTCTGCTAAATACCTCGGAGTCGTTCTATTCCACAATCTCTCCTTAAATTTACAGAACGTTTACAACAAGGTTCGTAAACTTTCTTTTTATGCTTTCAGGCTTAAGAAGTTTGCTGTTTCCCCCAAACGTAATTTTCAAATTCATGGTAGCATGCGTCCTCCCTCATTGGCTGTACTGTTCCCCCGTATTTTTTCCCGGCCTAAAAGAAACAGATTTCGTATCAATTTCCAGGTCCATAAAACTCCTATCCCGATGTGGTGCCATAGTCAGAGACGTCCTGATTGATTTTATTGTGTGCAAGTGTAGCCGACAGAATCTCGAACAACGAAGATCACTGCTTGCACAACGAACTTATTAAATCCATGTCAAACTCCCCTACCCGCCCCCATTATAAACTCCTTCCCGCAAGCACCGTCGCATACAGAAACAGCATCCTCTCTTTTCTTGCTCGCTTTCTAGTAAATCAGGCACCAATTATTACAGGTTTGGTTGAACACCTCATGAATTAGTTTATTTATTCATTTTAACCTGTCACAATCGTCTTCCTGCTTGCAGTTTGCTGTCATTTTTTATTTATTTAACCTATTCACACTGATGCTGTCCCCCAATTCCGCTGTCTTATCGTGAAAAATCGCTGAAAATTCACCCTTCGGGTGCATACAGCTTACTTTGACTTGACTTGAAAGTGCATGATTAATGGTTGTACAAACCGAAGTTACAGTAATAGGGTTAGAATTGGAGAAGTTATGAAGAACTGAATATCACTAGAAATGTTATTACGTATTTTTAGTGCTAATATTTACTACCTGCGGCTCTATTTGTTCTGCTCAGTAGCTGACCTACTATGATAGTTTCTGCTGGAGCTTTATGTGCAGCTATTGCCATTGAATCCTCTCTCTAGGTAGTAGGGAGACCCGGATTCTCGTCGATGGCTTTTTAACAAAGCAACTTCCTCGATGCTGTCTAACACGACCTGTAAGTGATTTTTTATTCTCAACCATCGCCTGTTTTGCTTAACAGTTCATTAATAATATGTTTCTCCGCACTGTGTTCCTGAAGTGGATTGTAATTATTAATTACTGATTGTTGATTCATCTTGTTTGCACAGGGCGATTTAAATTATCGCAAAATTCTTGCCGATCGCACTTGGCGCCCGGATTGTGTAAAACAAAAACAGGCTGCATTTCGTGGGATGCAGTTTGGGCGCCCAACGGACTCTACCGGTCGACTAACCTGTTCCTGTTCACCGTCCGCATCCCCGGGGTTTCCCGTGGATTGTCGCTGTCCGATGAAAACCAGTCAAAATTGGCCTCCGCTATTGTGCGCACTTCGAATTGCCAAGGCCGATGTGGCTGTTGGTCTCACCCCGGAAACTCTCAGTCGTGTTCGAGCCGAATCAAATGATTGGTGGATTATCGGTCGTTATGGCATCATTCAAATAGTTAGCCCGATTCAGTTGTAGTGATAATCACAAACACTAGTCCAGGATTTATTTATTGTGTCTCCTTTTGCTTTTTTCATTCTGTTACTGCAAGGCGCCAGATGTTTTCCTTTTCATTATTTATTTCAATATATAGATCTTCCGAAAAATGTGTTTCATCTTCAGTTTCGAGATTTCGGTTATCGAAACGGCAGCATTTTATTGTAACACTGCGATGAATAGAAACCGTTTCAATTTCGGTTTAAACAACCATTTACCGTGCACATTCGTGCGCCGGTTTTGGTTGCTGTCTTTTAGTTGCCCTTTTCAATAAACGGTAGGAGAAAGACACGAAGGTGCCGGTATTGTGGCATTTTTGAAGGCTTGCCAATTTTCAAGCAGCGTCGTCGAACCTCATCATTGAAAATCCGATCTCT